TGCCTGCTCGAGAACGACCCTCTCCCCTTCGTTGAGCAGGTCAAGGCTCTGCTCAGCTTGATCGCCAAGACTATTGTCGACCCTGCCAGCATTGAGGTCCGCCTGAACTCGGCCAAGGCTGTCAGCGCTCTGTTGGCGCTTGTCGACGTTGAGGAGGACAACACCGAGTGCGTTGAGATCATCCAGACCATGATCCAGCCCACCGTTGAGATCCTCAAGAACGCCATCGACCAGGGCAACGATGACCAGTACAACGACATCTTCGAGGTCCTCCAGAACTTCATGACCTACGACTCTGCCTACCTCGCCAACCACTTCAAGGACCTCATCCAGTTCATGATCGAGCTCGGTGTCAACACCGAGGTTGAGGACGATGCCCGTTCCCAGGCTCTCGTTTTCCTCGCTCAGAGCGCCAGGTACCGCCGCCTCAAGATCCAGGGCATGAAGGACATGGGCGCCCTGCTCATGGTCAAGAGCATGCAGATCGTCGCCGAGATCGACAACGACGCCGACGAGGATGACAGCTCTCCCGCTAGAACCGCTCTGAGCCTCATCGACCAGCTGGCCAGCGACCTCCCTCCCCGCCAGGTCATCGTTCCCCTGCTTGAGCAGTTCCCTACCTTCGCCCAGAGCCCCCAGCCCGGTCTGCGCAAGTCTGCTATCCTCTCTCTCGGTACCGCCGCTGAGGGTGCTCCCGACTTCATCGCTACCCAGCTCCAGCCTTTGATGCCCCAGATCATCCAGCTCTTGAACGACCAGGACAGCTCTGTTCGCCACGCCGCTCTCGTCGGTGTCATCCACCTTGCCGACGAGATGGCCGAGGAGCTCGCTCCTCAGCACGAGGCTCTCATCAGCGCTCTCCTCACCAACCTCGAGGCTGCCTCTGCTGGCTCTGACAAGCAAAGCATCAGCATCATCCGTGCCGCCTGCGGTGCTCTCGACTCCCTCATTGGCGAGGGTCTCGACGACCAGCTCATCAAGACCTTCGGCCCCAAGCTGATCGTACCTATGGGCAAGCTGCTCGGCCACGACGACTTCAGCGTCAAGTCCGCTGCTGCCGGTGCCATCGGCGCCATCGCCTCTGCTCTCGGCGGCGAGGAGTTCAAGCCCTACTTCAAGGAGGTCATGGGCGCTCTCGGCCAGTACGTCAACATCAAGGACAGCGAGGAGGCTCTTGCTCTCCGCTCCTCCGTCTGCGACTCCATGGGCCGCATTGCCGACGCTGTCGGTGCCCAGGAGTTCCAGCCCTACGTCATGGACCTGATGAAGGCCAGCGAGGAGGCTCTCAGCCTCGACAACGCCCGTCTCAAGGAAACCAGCTTCATCCTGTGGGCTTCTCTGTCCAAGGTCTACGGCAACGAGTTCTCTCACTTCCTCCCCGGTGTCTTTAAGGGTCTCTTCGACTGCCTCGAGCTCGACGAGGAGGATGTCAACATCCCTGGCCTCAAGCCTGAGGATCTCCCTGAGGGTCTTCTCATTGCCAACGGCAAGAAGATCCGTGTCAAGTCCACCGAGGACGAGATGGAGGACGACGATGAGGACGAGTGGGATGATATGGACGACTACTCTGGTGTCACCGCTGTCGCCCTTGAGCAGGAGATTGCTCTTGAGGTCCTCGGCGACGTCATCACCCACTCATGCGACGCCAACGCCATCAAGGAGTACCTTGACAAGGCTGTCGAGCGCATCGCTCCTCTTGCCGAGCACCCCTACGACGGTGCCCGTAAGGCTGCCATCTCTACCCTCTGGCGCTCGTACGCCCGCGTCTGGCAACTCTTCGAGGAGCAGACCGGTGCCAAGTGGGAGGCCGGCATTCCTCTCAAGCAGCAGCCCGATGCCGTCCTGGTCAAGCTCGGCGAGCTCGTCGTCAAGTCCACCAACAACATCTGGGCTGAGGACACTGAGCGGTATGTATTCTGTCATGCCTCAAATTCTGTCTTGAAATTCCCCCGCCCCAAAAGGATGAGTAACACACGTTATACCCAGCTCACTCAGACGCACAAAGTGCGGGTGCTGAGAACACGTTTGATCACGTCTGATTCAATGGGCAATCTCCTACTTTCATCAGCCAAGCCTGTGATGACAGTGATTGCTAACGAATTCATAGTGATGTCATCACCGAGATCAACCGCAACATCGCCGCTACCCTCAAGGCTTGCGGTCCCGCCATCCTCACCCACGACGACCTGCTCAAGGACTCCGTCACTGTCCTTGGCTGCCTGATCACCCGCTCCCACCCCTGCCAGCAGGACATGGGCGACGAGGAGGAGCAGGAGGCCGAAGGCTCTTCCGAGCTCGACTGGCTTGTTATTGACACCGCCATGGATGTCATCCTCGGCCTCGCCACCGCCCTCGGCCCCGACTTCGCCGAGATGTGGAAGGTCTTCGAGAAGCCCATCCTCAAGTTCGCCAGCTCCCAGGAGAACCTCGAGCGCTCCACCTCCGTCGGTGTCATCGCCGAGGCCATCAAGTACATGGGCAACGCCGTCACCCCCTTCACCGACGGCCTCCTCCCCATCCTCAACCACCGCCTCACCGACTCCGACCCTCTGGCCAAGTCCAATGCCGCCTACGCCACCGGCCAGCTCATCTTCAACTCTACCGCCACCGACAAGACCATCCCCCACTACCCCGCCATCCTCCAGAAGCTCGAGCCCCTCCTGTCCATCCAGGAGTCTCGAATGGTCGACAACGTCTCCGGCTGCATCTGCCGCATGATCATGACCAACCCCAACCCCGAGTTCGTCGAGCGCGTCCTCCCCGCCGTCGTCGGCGTCCTGCCCCTCAAGGAGGACTTCGAAGAGAACGCCCCCATCTACCAGGCCATCTACAAGCTGTACGACCAGCAGAACCCCACGGTTCAGCAGCTCACCAACAAGATCATTCCCGTGCTGCAGACCGTCCTCGGCCCCCCTGAGGAGCAGCTGGAGCCCGAGACCCGCCAGTTGGTGCAGAAGCTTGCTCAGGCGCTTCAGTAAGCGAAGGTTACAAAAAAGCAGGGATGGACAAAATGGAGTTTGGTGCCCCCGGAAAAAAAGGAAGGGCTGTTAATGAGTGATGAGTGGACGAGACCCCATTTCTTGATGTCTGTAGATAGGTACATAGACTGCCAGGACATACCGCCTGGATGATTCCCGATACTATCAACGATTTTCTTTTTTCAATTCCAAGTGCCAGTCCCCACGGCAAGACCTTCAAGGTTCTGCTGATCGCAGCTGTCCTCCGCGGGTAAGTGTAGCCTATGGCTCATGGTCATCTACCTTGCAACCCTTGCGGACCCAACGAAACCTGCAAAGAGTTCTTGTTCCGCCGCGTCGACCCTCAGCGACCACCCGCGATGTCACCATTGTCCTCCACTACTTCTGACGCTTAATCGAGCGCAACATGGCATGCATGACCGCGACGATTGAGAGCATCGTCGAGTGGCTCAGTCACCTCGGTGAGGCGGACTTGTCCGAACGGAAGCAACTTCTGGACACTGTTCTTCAGACCTGTGACTCGGAGCCATGTCTAGAGGGATGGCGTCGCCAGCCACAGCTCGAAGTAGTGAACAACGCTGTGTCTTGCTGCTTGCTCTTGGTGATGGACATTGCCCTTCTCAAGGACCTTGACGCGAAATTGAGGGATCCAGCCCAAAGTATTCGAGCTTCCAGAGATTTCACGAACTGTCTAATGTTCGTGGAACAGCTTGTCTGGTGGTGTAAGCTGTTGTCTCGCTCACCCGACGTACGTGTCTTTGGCTAAAAGTTCGCAGACTACGAGACTTACGACCCGTATTGGGGCGACTTTGCTGAGAATCGGGGCTTTCGAGTACCAGGAGATGATGATTCTCGCATTCAAGAGCTCGTTGAGATGACATTGAACGCTGCCAATAGAACGACCCGAGCGACTTTCAACGTCTGATGCTGCCGGTTGGTGGTTGTCTGTGGCGGAGGTTGCGGGGACGCCCATATTGTTATGTATATTATGTAGAGCTTTGCCAGCCGGACAATGTCAGTCGGCTACCCGAGGTGTACCCTACAATCTTGAGTCTTGTACCTAATACTTCTATTCGTATAAGGACGACAGTAGTCAAGAAAACGATAGGGGTAGTGATAAGGATAACGACGATGGACGGCGACGATGGACGGCGACGATGGACGACGACGATGGACGACGGCGACAGACGACAATAATAGACACTGCCCGCGTAGCAAAACTCCATATATTCAACATAGTATAAGTATGGAAAAGGAGACCAAGCAACCTCGCTGGAAATAACCCAAGAGGTAGTAGACACAACGGTGCTACTACACTTATTACTGAGACAACTATCAAGCGCATCCATCAGAAGTAACTATAACTCTGTAATCGCGCCGTCCGTCTCTGTCGTCCAGTACTCCGCGATACTGAGGGCTTATTCCGACGCACAAGTTAGAAATCGTCACGGACACCATCGACGACACCATGCGTGGAAGATTAGATCACTTCGATGAAGTAGACCTAACTGAACGGCAGGAGCTTGTCCAGAGAATTATACACAACTGTCTTTCGGACCCGGACTTCGCAAGTTCTCGTACTGCAGTGGGCGTCCAGTTGTTGGGCCAAGCGAGAGGATGGTGTACACTCATGGCGACGGACCTCGACCTCCTGAAGGGACTTGACGAGAAACTTCAGAATCCGATCAGCAAGCGGGAAGCCTACGATGCATTCATCGACATGCTCATGCACATTCATAAGCTAGTTTGGTGGTGTGAGTCATCGTCATTTGCTTGAACGTATGATCATTAGCTAACAAGTTGGCAGTCTCAGAAAGACCAGCGAGGCCCAGAGAACATCAGCATGGTCGCAGTGAGGCCGAAAGGCAAAAGGTACGTAGAATTCCGAAGACAGCATTTGGTGGATCGAAGAGCGTAACCATATGACAGGCCTTGAAGCGTGATGGAGGACGCTGCTTGTTCACGCGGGCAATTTGCGAAGTGTGCCACATCGTGCCCTTCTGGACAGCGAACAGGTCATCAATGATCGATTCGCTGCTGAGATTCATGAAAATTCTTTTTGATTACGATCTTCGTAGCCGGCTTCACACGAGCTTCGCTTCCAGAAACGCCAATAACACGGCACCTGGCGAGAACAACATCGTGGACAAATGTTCCAACATGCTGTGCCTCAGCCCGGAACTGCATCGGTTTTGGCAGAAGGGACTGTTTGGCCTAGAGCCCGTGGGCCACTGCCGAAGGCTGAAGGGTTCTGGGGAATCTTGGGAAGTCCTAGACATGAAGCTCAGCGAACGCGACCTTGATGGCACCAGTCGAGAGGAGGGCGAGGAAATCGATGCGAAGCTGTCGTCGATGTTCACTTCCGCCTTCGACACGGACCCAGTTACAACACACAGTGTGCCCAGCAAGAGATCCAGCCAAGTCGACATGGACCTCGACAACGACCACAAGAAGCCGTGGACGGATGAGAAGGGCAAAGTGCCCGAAACATTCAGCAAGGGACGCCCGCTTCTCAAGCAGGACATTGAAGATAGGTACGAGTACGGCATCGTGCTCCGCTTCCACTGGCTGCCTGCCACGACCTTGACCAGCCTAAACGCGAAGGGTCCCCCCCTGGACACGAATCCACGAGACATACAAGCACCGTTTGAAAACTTCAAGTCGAAACACTATGCAATTTCAGGCCGTCCGGTTACCAACGGCCGTATCATCAGGATCTGGGCAAAGAACCCGGATGAGCTACCCGATTGGGACGCGTTGCAACTTCAGTGGTTTGCTCTCAGGGTTCTCCGCTTGGGAGGAGATGTTGACTCTGAGATCTACAACCCACACTGGACTGACAACGACGATAACTTCTCTCGTCGAGTTGAAAACGACAGAGAGGGCCTCAGGCAAGAGCTGATCAACGAGATGACCTTGTCCGCGAGGTATTCCACACGCACCCACGAGTATTCCAATGCGGATGCGGGCGGACAATGACAGTGGCAATAACTACGACAGAAACGGCCCTTTGATCGTTAGAACCTAGAAGAAAAATAATATGAGCCACCTCTAAGGACTGTCTTTCACTGGATTGGTTCCTTGTGTGCTATGTGTGAGTGATGCTGCTTATTATGATTACGTGTTTAATAGGTAATGTGACCTTGACGGTGATTCGGCAAGGTCGTATATGCTTTCACATACTTTAAAAGTGGTCGCCAAGTACAGAGGCGGAATTTCCTACAAGTTTCGCAAATACTCCGACAAGACTGTCAATTCTCGCGACATGGACGTCACTAATGAGCCTCCCGAGAGCATTCCAGGCGCCCGGATCGACTATGTTGACGACGACTTAACAGAACGACAGCGACTGATCAAAAGTATCCTCAATGCCTGTTTATCAGATCCTGGTCTTGATGGAATGCGGTCCAAGAATAGCCTGAAGTTGCTGAAGCAGGCGGTATGTTGGTGTACGCTCATGGTCATGGACATCAAGCAGCTCAGACACCTCAATGAGCGTCTCCGTTCAAATGACCAGGAAAGTTACTACCTCGACCTCATCAAGTGTCTGGAAGCTGCCGGAGAACTTGTGTATTGGTGTAAGTTGCTTTTCTCGAAATCCCATGAGCGTATACTAACATATCTTCAGTTGGGAGAGACCCGACCGAGCCGTGGGACCAAGGCCGCGTTGTTCCTCGCAACGAAGCTGAGAAAAATAAGGTTCCGTACCTTCTGAAAGACGAATATATACTATAACTAATCGCTCTTCAGGCCACCATGCGTGACCAAGGTCTCTGTGTGACCACGCACAGCCCGGCTGACGAGGCCTGTCATATCGTGCCACTTTGGACACTCAAATGGCTCCACACAATGGGTAACATTGCACTTTTCTGGCGGCCTCTGTTTGGAATTCGTACAATCTTCTATATCAAGGATAGGTTTATGTGTGAGTACAGAGACAGGAAGAACAAAGTTGCAGAGCACAATATTGTGGACAAGTGTTGTAACATGATTTGCCTCAGCGGGCAGATGCGTCGGTGTTGGGAGAAGGGACTAATTACCTTTGAGCCCGTGGGTTACTGCCGGCGAAGCAAGGGTGCTGGAGAGGTCTCTGAGCTTTTTTCGATGCTCTCCTCAACCTGCATCTCCGACTCAACTACAAAAACAGCGCATACCGATAACAAGTCATCGAGTCAAGAGACCACTGTCAAGGCCAGGGCGCCTGGCGCGAATGAGGACGAGGCGTCCGGACTTTTCAACGAGGGACGGCGACTACAGGAGGCTGACATTGATGCGGGAAAAGAGTACGGAATTGTCCTTCGTGTTCGATGGCTTCTCAAGACAACGACCTTATCAAGATTGATGGACTCGGCACCTCCGCCAGATACTGATCCGCAAGACCTACAGGAATCTTGGGAGGAGCTTTACGAAGAGTTGGAAGGCCTTCCAGTCCTTCCCAAGAACGGTGAGCTTATTCGGATCTGGGCCCAAGACCCCCGAGAGCTTCCCGACTGGAAAGCTCTGGAGCTGCGATGGACGGCACTCCGAATTCATTGCCTGTCTGGGAGAGCCAACCCTGAGAAGTATAACCCGGGTTATAGTGACGCCGATGAACAGTTCTGGATAGACATGGCGGATTACTGTTACATCAAGGACGACAAAGTTGCTTTCGAGGAGCTTCGGGCTAGGATGGATGCCTATATATATCCAGATTGAGGCGCGCGCGACTGTGACAATCATGGAGCGAGAGTTGGACGGCGCAACAGTGGCGGCATGTCGGTTGCGGCGATGAGATCGCAAGAGAAAGGCTATTGGCAGTCTAGTCTCTAGTCTAGAATCCAATACACAGGGTGCCCCCCATCTTGTAAGTTCTATTTACTCTGTATCAATTGCCGTTCGTCGACCTTGTCGGAACCTTCGCTACCTAGGGTTTGGTGAAGGGTCTGTTCCACGATGTATCATATAACCCTCAAATGGTCACCCTGAATCAGCAGCTACATGAGAAATATTTGACGCAGGAGAGTCACCCTGTTGCGAATCATAACAGTCTCTCCGAAGAGTCGACGTTCAAGACCATATCGAGTTCCATAAGATTAACTTGCACGTTCGACGATATACAACACAATATCGTACGGGTGGACGTGGAACAGCCATTAAGATTGAAGCTGAAGGCATGTGATGAGATCCATGAAAGCTAACTCCGATAATAAGCCTTGATCCAATGCACAGCAACAGCAAAGTCCTCCTAGTTACGTCAGGTCTCTACTGTCAGCGACTTGCTAGCTGAACGGCTAGTTTCATCTCATTCCTGGATGAGCCGCTGCCCACCTCCTCAGCCTCACTAAAATGGACTGGGGAAACCAGTCATTAGCAGGCCTGCAGAATGACACAGCACTCAGCCCTCAATTCGTGGGCTAGTAGGAGGAAGTTGGACTCAGCCACCGTCGACATTCAATTCCCCATTTGGGCAGTCTTACTTGAATAGTCCAATCACATAGCAGCCTCGCTGACGTTAATTACCCGCTTTTGGAAGGTGATCCTTCTGTGACCGTTTCCTTGGCAGCCATGCATCGCCCGCATGTCAATTGTCCAACGAGGCAAGCGATAGAACATGACTGAGCCAAAGGCAGTTAGGTCCATTGGGACACAAGGTAAGCTTCGGGCGCGCAGCAATCATCGTGACGTCTGACTAAGATGCACAATGGCATATAAGAGCGAGAATAGTTGAAGATAAATCAATTAATACAATACAATTCTTCATAAGTTTCTCAATAGATCGACCGAACCAATTCTTCAAAACTACACTTCAAATGCGTTCCACTGCGTTTCTCGGTCTGCTGGCTTCAGCTGCAACCGCAACGGCAGCAACCATTCCATCTGATGAAGTTCCTCTCATCGGCCCTTCCTTCCTTTCCAACTTTGACCCAACGAATGCTCGGTCTGTCCTCAACGCCACCAAATCTTTCCCCGTCATAATCGATACTCTCTTTGAGAGCAATATCCTCAACAAGACAGACCTCGTATTCACCGTTGACGTGTTCTCGGCCGCAACCAATAAGTCCATCTATAGCTACTTCCACGCTGGAGATGTGGGAAAGCAGGGCTTGACGGCCGGGGAACTCAACGACCAGACTATTGGGCGTATCGGCAGTGTGAGCAAGCTCTTCACCGTCTATGCCATCATTGCCACAGCCGGAATTGAGGTGTTCAGCCATCCAGTGACGAAATACCTTCCTGAGCTTTTGGGCAACTCATCGGGCGACCCTCTCAAGCATGTCTGCTGGGAGGATATCACTGTCGGGGCGTTGGCGTCACAGCAAGCGGGTTCTGGTGGAGCATCAAGTAGGCAATCTCTTGGATCTCTGAGAGCGACTTTTACTGACACGTGAATCAGATCTTTTGAACAAAACAACGATTGAAGAGCTTGCTGCCATCACTCCTGAAGGTACGACAGCTTACATACCAGCGGCTCTCGCATTGACTGACTTCTCTAGATCTCTTCACCTACATGCGAGACAACAAAAGACCAGTGGTTTCGCCCTTCCGGAATGCCGTCTACTCCGATTCGGGTTTCGCTCTGCTCGGTCAAGTTCTTGCCCGTCTCTCAAACCAGACTTACGAGGATGCTGTCCGAGATATCCTAGCCAACCCTCTGGGACTCAACAGCACAACCGCTAGCGTGCCCAAAGGTACTGACGTCAACGCCATCAATCGTGCGCTTTTCACTGATGTGACGTCCTATGGCCTTGACGTCCCTATTGTCTACCCATCCGGCGGAATTTACTCCAACGCTGCCGACCTTCGTACTCTCGGTCTCTCCATCCTCAACTCAGAGCTGCTTTCGCAAGCCACTACCTCGCAGTGGATGAAGCCCCTTAGTGGGACCGGTACACTTATCGAGCTTGTCGGCGCACCCTGGGAGATCACCCGTCTCGCGATCCCTGCCACGCCGGGATCGAACCGCACCCGCATCTCTGATTTGTACATCAAAGCCGGCGGGAATGGTGATTATGGATGCATTTTTGCGCTCTCTCCCGACCATGGCATTGGATTCTCAATCTTGGTGGCTGGTATTACCTCCGGCGCTGCTCGCTGGGTGATTCGCGACACAATTGGCGAGTTGTTTATCCCAGCAGCCGAGGCCGCCACCGCCGAGAATGCGAAACAGAATATTGCTGGTATTTTTGAGACTCCAGATGGAAGAAACATCACTCTTACCATCGACGACGGTCACCCGGGCTTAGGCATCCAATCAGCCTCATTGGAGTCGCTAGCTGGGGGCTCAATGCGTCTCTACCCATCCGGCATGTACTCCAATTCAAGGTCTCTCTCTGCTCTGTACAATACTGAGGGCACCTTCAAAGCCGCGCTTCGTGGGATTCTGTATCAAGTTCCTATTCCGCACCGAGCTGCATCAGAAGGCGGTACTGGCGCGTTATTCGACAACCAATTTTCTTGGATGGACATTGGCTTTGTTGATGGTGAGGATGAATTCATCTTGACTATCGAGGAAGGAAAAGCGGTGAGCGTGGAAGCCACCATCGAAGGCGAGCAGGTGAAATTTGAGAGATTTGAGTGATAGCTCTCTACTCATTGTATGCAAGACATTGGTATATATACATGTATCGTTTGCTTTTGCTACACAACTTAGGATGTGAACTTATCATAAGAAGCTGGTCTGCGCTATCTCTGACCTTCACTTCTTGTGAAATGCTCTCGACCAATTTCCATCGTCACAACGGAAAAGGACGAAGTGTATTTCAGAAAGTGTGATCTTGAAGTTGGCCGCTACATGTTCTGAATTTATCTATTGCTTCTCAATATCTCAGACAGCTTTAATCTGAAGAGAGTCAGCCAGTGGTATTTGGCTGTCCAGGCAGTGTCTACACACACGTATGTAATGTGTAGCTTTTCTACAGCGAATATATTTCCTATTTTCGTCTTCGTTATAGTTATTATGTATCATCATTATTATCGTCGTCGTCGTCGTCTATCGTCGTTAATCTTTTTATTACTTCTATCGTTCTCTCTATAATTACAGATTATGAGGGACGCTGCCCGGATAGCGAAATGATACTGCCCGACTAGCAAAACTCAATCTGAAATGTATTATCTAGACCATACAGCTGGTCACTTTCAATGAGAGAGAAGAGGCGGTGCTCACCAAACCAGTTGGTAATATCAGCATGATTTGTAATAGATGATTTGTCATGTTTAAGCCTTGATTGCTCAAGCGAGCAACCAGAGGTAGTGCTCGTCCCATCTCTTCTTTAGAATACCCACTGCGGGCTGTTCGTGGTCGAAGCTTGGCGCCTAAATAATTTCTTAAGTGGTCCTCGGAATTACCAGCCATTGGCTGCACCTCGTATGTCACTCGGTAATATCAGTGATTGGACGCATTGCTGAGCATCACTCCAAAACATGAAAGGCCATGTGAATGTATTGCTCTTTGCGAAACAAGTGCGTGGATCTGGTTCCTTAATGGATGCCTTTGAACATAACGTTGTAATTCTATCCTATTGCGGTGGAGAGTATAGTATAAATACAGATGCGTAGGTACGAAAGTTAGAAGTTTGGTCCTAGCGATGCATAGAACGACAAAGCAGTACTTCGCGTCAACGTATGCGCAAGTTAAGGGGTTTTTCTTTTGCCAGTTGCGGGCTTACTTGATCTATTTTCTTTCTTCCAGTACCTTCAGCACCTCCATACTGGCCACATGCCCACAATGAATCAGGATCAGCCCCGGCTACTTCAAAAGAGATATGGACATCGACCATCAGATGGCATGAGCAACTCGCCGTGGTCTCTTACCTTGGATCTTCTTCTTAGCCACGCATCCGTCCGCTCCTACCTCCCAGACGCACTCCCCGATGGCACTCTCGAAAGTCTCATTGCAGCTGGCCAGAGCGCACCCACCTCTTCGATGCTTCAAACCTGGAATGCAGTTGCCATAATCGACCCAGTCCGTTAAGCCCAGGTTGCAACTATTGCCGGCGATCAAGACTTCAGCCGTCAGGCACCTTTGTTCATTCTTTTCTGCGCCGATCTCAACCGCCTCGCAAACAACTCCAAGCGTCTGCAAAAGCCGAGCCCTGCACTGGAGAAAATAGACATGTTCGTCATGGCGACTATTGACGCAGCCTTGGCAGCCCAGAACATGGCCATTGCGGCTGGATCGCTGGATCTCGGCATGTGCTACGTAGGAGCTGCTCGAAACAATGCGGCTCAGCTCACGGAGCTCTTAGAGCTTCCACCTCGTGTTATTGCTCTATTTGGCATGACTGTCGGAAAGCCTGATCAAAATTACTCGAACACGATCAAGCCCAGATTGCCGTTGAACGAGGTACTTCACAGGGAGGTTTGGAATGCCGAAGGCCAAGAGAAGCGGGTTTCTTCTTATGATGAGACACTTAGGTCCTTCCACGAGCGCCAAAACAAGCTAAATAGAGGATTCTGGAGTGAACACACATCTAATTTTATAGAAACAGACAGATGGGATGGTAGAGAACATCTAAGAGACGTTCTAGATGAGCAAAAGTTTGGTTTTTCCTAATGGAAATGCTAAACTCAATGTAAAGTCAGTTGAGGCTATCAAAGCCCACTAATGCAGCCCATGGATTGATCCATCTGTTGAATATGTACATGCGTATCAAAACAAACTCAGAGCTGGCTAATAAACGTAGCATCTTTGTTGCAAATATCTTGTTTGCGCATCTGACCCTCTGAAGCTCTATTTGAATGACTGATCCACCACAGACGAGTTTGCTGTTGACCGGAGCAAAAGGTCTTCAGAGTTTGGTTTTTTGATGGCCTTGATCGTTCTTCATGATGTAACATACTGGAACGATTTGTGGTCTTTGAAAACATGCGCCTCCAGAGTTGACTTGCGCTAGGCATACATGCCACAAACACTCCCACATCGAGTTCCGCAAGCGACCAGACATACACCCACAGCGCTTCGGCTGCAGTTGAGACTCTTAGTTATAATCGCGGTCCTGAGTGGGAAGACGCTGCTTACATGTGATGTTGTTTGTAGTCGCAAAGTGAGCCACAACCTGAATTCTAAGGGCACTCACTGACTGCAGTCAGACTGTAGGCATGGTGAGCGACGATGCAATACTCCGGGGCTGGTTTTCACTTACAAAAGCCCCACGCTAAACATCATAATCACTCCAACCTTCTTCTTCAATCCCAATTTCAATTTGTACAGCTGCGTGAGCGGCAGGATGAGCATCCAGATGTCTAAAGCGATGTTGAACCCGACGTGTGTTAGAACCAGCAAGTTGAAATCCATGCAAACACCCGGCTGATTGCCAGACCATCCCAGCCAATATTTCTGCAATGGGCGGCATTGAGAAAAGGTGAGAATGATGTATAAGAAGAAGATCAAGGCGTTGCAGCCTTGCGTGGCCCACAAGAGACGTCGGAAAGGAAGGGACGGGAAAACCCGAAGATAGAAAAATAATATAGAGGCTTTAATGGTGGCCAAGCCGGTAATGTAGAATATTTGGGTAGTGAAAACCAGCTGCAAGACTTTAGCGTTGAGCATGGAAGCATGAAGGGTTCGGATGCCATCATACTTTGAGGAATTCGGTAATCTTGTAAGGTTGGAGAGTCCAGATGTCTCTACCAAGTCCGAGGGCCAGCACTGCCAAGAAAATTGTCAGCTGTGGACATGGCCGAAAAGGCTGTGTTATTCTTCTCACGTCGATAGACAATGGGAATCATTGCTGTTGCGCATGCCTGCAAGGTATCAATAATTGGTCTCGTGAGCGACACTGACGAATGAGTACGGATCACTTACGAAACCAGCCAGGGCGCAAGCGTCATCAGCGCCCCAGAGAGAAGGACTTATAGCTTTATTCAGTAACCGAATGGATATGAAAGTGACGGGCAAAATGAAGAGAAATCCTGTAAGGTATCGCGGTATAGCTGTATTATCTGTCAACGGAAAGCCGCAGTCCGCCCAAGTCATGTTCGCGACATCTAGCTTGACGGTGAGAAAGTGCATTTAGTGAATGCTGTCAAGCCATTATCTTACTGAGAGCTTCACTGACGGTGCAGCCTTGCTTCACACAAGCTGATACTTCCTCGTTGAAGACTGGGTCGGCGCAGAGGCAGGTCTGGTTTAACCCAGAACATGGCGACTGAGGCAGCGCATCAATAATACAGGCCACCTGTGTATCAGAATTTAGTTATATTCCAGTCAAAATGGAGAGGATTTGGGTGTGAAAGACATACTGCGCATGGAGGGTAGTCCGAAATACTTGGGCTAGCACCGGCTAGGATCGCAAAGCAGCCCACCAGGAGGGCGAACAAATGAGAGGACCTCATTCTCGTCTTTGCTTATTTCTGTTTTGCCGTCGTTTGCCGTTCTAGGAAAGAACGTTTTGAGACCAAGCAACAAATAGCAGCGGATGAGAATTTGAGAGTGGATGGCCGGCCGTACGAAGACCGTGAATGTCCGCTTCCCTGGGGCCTGATGATAAAGGATTGGTCTTCGGCTGCAGCTAACAGTAAATATGAGCTGGATTTTAAACAGTGGCAATTTTCCCGCACGAATATGAGAGCTTTCACCTATTCTTTCTCTTTGTTTTCTCTCGTTGGTGAATTACCGATGAAGGCTCGACGATCGCAGCGCGCGCAGCTGTTCGCAAACGGAAAGACACGCGGACGGTTCTAAGGTAGCTCAGCCATGTGGCTGCCACTGATCATCGCTGGGAATCTACAAAAGCCATGCCGCCCTCGATGACGAAGTTTTTGCCTCCCCAGCACGTGGGCTTTGAACCTCGAACCGGTAAACCTCTTTCAATACCAAACCGGCGCCGACCGTCTTTTACTGGCTGCGTGCCGCACTCAGCGCCACCTTCGCCCATGGTATGCTAATGTCGCGACGTTTCTTCTCTCAACTTCTCTAGCTTGAACATAAAGTGGGTGGTCTGAGACCACTATGGCTGTACAACTGGGATCAACAGGTGCGAGCTTTCCTCACCATCCCCGCCGCAGTGAACCACATCCAAGCCCTTGTTGTCAGTAGAGTGCATCTCCAAACCTGGCAAAGCAAATGGGACAACCGCACTGCCTTGTATCGCAAGCCGAAGATGATCCGCCTTCTATAAAATTCAAGACATTTTTTTAGCATACGCTTGTGGCTAGCTTGAACCATGCTATGACTTACCTCCCAGAACATGCCACTAGGGCTCATTTGGATATCGAGAGCGCGTCTTTCACCCTTCTTAAGGCTTACCTTCTCCGTGAATGTGTAATGCGGTTTGTAAACCTTGCTGCACTGTTCATCGCGGTTCAAGGCAAAGCTGCCACGCAGACATCCACTGGGCCCCCGGTGAAAGGCCATGCCGGCACCACCAGGTAGAATGTCCCAATCGTGCATGAACTTCAAAAGTCGTTGCAAAACAACATTTTGAGGCCTGATCGTCTGCACAGCCTGGGGGTTCTTGAGGGCTGACAGTTTCTCAACTTGTACAAAGACATCCATGTCCGTATGCTCCGGACGCGACATCACAAGATGTGCGCAAAAATACCCGGTCGTCTCGCAGGCCTTATCGAATTGGTAGACGAACGTCTGCTTTCCAGATTGGGAATCATAGGGCAACGCGGATTCGGAGGCATCAGGGTTGAGTGACAGAGTGTTGTCTCCCTGCAAGAAGAGTTTGGTGTAATGTGTCCTCGCCAGAGGGAAGTCGGCCTCTGGGCGTCCTACCGTATCCTTTTGGTTCACCAAGCCGAAATGCAGCACGCTTAGACGGACTTTGGGCGTGGTCTCCCAGTCGTTCTTTTGATCCTTCAGGTAGCGGTCGAAAAAGCGGAGTAGGTCTTTCTGGTTGCAATCCTCGTAGTAGTCGGGCCATTCTTGGCAGTTGTGGACTCTGAGCCACTTAGGAACGGTGTCAGGAACGGTTTCCCACGCCTCAAAGGTTCCCGGGGTGTGCACAGGGTTCGTCCACGAAGCAGCAGCATAGACTGGCACGTTGATACGCTCTGGGTGAGTAATCTTGTCCTCCCAATACGCATCGTAGAGCTGATGCTCACGACCGTGAGAGGTGATGTCTTCGAGCTTTCCTTGCGTCGCCAGAGTATCTAGAGATCACCTCAGTGAGCAGATTGCCAACAATGACATGTATATCAGTTGAAAAGAGCTCACTGGAAATTGATTCGTGAAAACCCGGAAACAGAATACCGCCGCTAAACATGTGGTGTCGATAGAAGTCGGAAAAGCCTTCCCTGTTCATGGTCTTAGCTAGATCTGCCCTATGAGTGCGTATAAGAAAGCTTACCATGGGGCGAGTGCAGCCAGTCTCGGTGGACGCATACTTCCGATACGCCACTGAGCTATTGCCAGCCAACTATTCCCAGTCAAAGCTACTTTACCGTTACACCAGGGCTGTTTCGAAACCCAAGTGATGAACGAGGCACCGTCCTGAGCCTCCTGGTGACCCATGATGAGGAGATCGCCTTCGGATGCATACGCACCCCTCGTATCGACGTTGATGACTGCGTAATTTCGCGGGCACCAAAAGTCGGGATCCGGGCCTTCCCATTTCTGCAAGCCGGAGAGGTGCTCTTTGGGGACGCCAGCGCGGAATGGGAAATCGTCCAGCAGCGTTGTGCCCTTTTGCTTTCCGTAGGGACTCCTATCGACGACGATCAACTACAAAGCCAACAAGACAGCACCCGGAAACATACCATGCCACCCGCGCTGGTACCGGATCGGCGTATCTTGAGTCCAGATCTTGGAAACTTGCCGGGAGGAAAATGTCGCTGTAAAGAGTGGTGCCGTCATCCACCTGCATGGGCACGCTTTCATGCATCACCAGGTCTGAGCTCAGAAGAAGCGCGCCCGGCTCAACTTGCTGTCCGGCCTTGAAATCGCGCTTCTGTTGGCGGAAACCTGGGAAACTCGCCTTCTCGCTGTCGATTGATATGCCATTTTTACATCGGGTAAGACGCAGCGCTTGGTCTTTGATCTCCAGTTGGTGGGCGAGTTCCTTCTCAAACTGATCTTGATTCATAGTGAATGCGACAATGTATTAAATTGAAAGCGGGATTCTAGCGTGAGCACACGATTGTAACTGTGGGAAAAATAAGCATCGTCGTGAAAGAATATTCCCGCCAGCTTAGGACTGCCTAGCTTTGTTCCTCTTTTTAGTCGCGAATGATACGAATGATGCGAACGCCTCGGGATGACGTTCGATGTTCAACGTTCAAAGACGGTAACGTAATGGGTAATGTCCATCTCGGGAAAAGGGTTCCTCAAAATGACAGTTGAGCCCGACAGCGAAACACAGGTTGGGGTTTTCTTAGTATCCTCGCCGAGACGCCGCGGCTAAAAGAAAGAAGAGACATAGAGACATAGGAGCCGAAAAAAGTGCCGCGACATCATGTTAAGTTTTGTAAAACAATTGCCTCGAACTGTCTTGCGCCGCAAACTCGTGTGAGTACGGGGAGACGTCTATCAAATCTATTTGGTTTTCAGGCAACGGGTGTGCCCCGTCACACTTCCTCATAACGTACTGCGTAATGACCACTGCATGCATGGATCCAGAACAGGTCCTGGGGACACGATTTCCGGAGATTCAATCGGAATCGTTCCCGCACCCTCCGATAAAAATTCCCCGAGCCTAGTATCCATGTCCGAATACTGCCAAAAGCGAGCAGATTGGGAAAATTCCGGGGTTCAGCAAGCCCCGAAGAACCGGGTGGCGCCGCTCCGTCACTTCGGGTGATGGTCAAGTTGGTTCGAAGAATCCGTCATAAAATGATCGCCATCAATATGGGAGAGTTGCAGCCCCGAACTCTATCACAACCTCAAATCACTTAGACCTGCCAAGACCTTCTCGTCATGTCTACCACCAAAAGGCTCAGGGTTGCCGTTCTTGGTCCTAAGGGGCAATGCGGCTCCTGCGTCGTCGACGAGCTCCTGTCTCGCGGCCACTCCGTTGTAGGCCTCTCACGCAACCCGCCTCGCGAGTGGCAGACACCAGGCGAGTACACGGCGGAGTCTGTTGACTTCAACTCCATCAACGAGCTCTCGGCGGCGCTGTCACGCGGTTACGACGCGATTGTGTGCGCGTATGGACCGCCCCCGGGGAACTTGCGGGCGATCTACTACGAATGTGTAGAGACGCATGCGAGAATCAAGTCTGCTCTACTCCGATCGAATCATCGAGGTTCTTTCATTGTTATTGGTAGGCTTCCCTGCAAGACATCTATGAGTAGTATGCTGACTTTGGGTGGGACATTTGAAGGCGGTGCTGGCTCTTTGCACCACAAAGACGGCTCGTCTTTTGCAGATGAACCAGATTTCCCTTATGGTGCTTGGTATGTTTCTGTCCAGCTGGAATCACATTCAGCGCGAGATGTTGACCGAATCATAGGTATAAATGGTCAGACCAGCATCTCGGATACATGATTTCTCGGGCGTCAGACCACGGCAGCACAACACTAGCTGTTTTCTCCCGGATCTTCAGATGGGCGCGCAACAATTTAGAGCATCCTGGATGTGAGACCTCCGCGCCTGCGTCCCAGCCATTGCAGTGCGAACTTCGCTGACGCAAGCCAGGGTTCTCCTGGATTCTCCGCCCGTTTGCGCGCCTGTTTCTCTCCCGCGCACGCAGGTTCATGACATCTCATGACGCAAAGGGCCTAATCACGGGGTCGCGCGTCGCTTTACACCTGTGGGAAGGCGTGACTGAGAAGTCTTGGTCATTTCTATCGCCTCCGCGGTTGCTGAGAGACAAAGGTGAGTGAGGAACAATTCTGACATCCGGGTTTTTGCGCTGACTCAACCTACCAGGGATCCGTACTGCGAAGTACGAAGTGTATGTGGACGAGCTTGACAGCCCGGGGTACCAAGCCATCTACGGCGGCATTTACAACGAGGATACGGCCGTGGCTATCGTGGACGAGGTCGAGAACAATAAGCTGGCTTATAAGCATTGGTCGTGTGTCGGGCCCATCGGTCTCGGGAAATGGTAACCTCAAGCCATCATCTATCCACATAGGTTTGATCTACTGACGTGTGCGATCTTTCGACTCGATCATTTCGTCAGTCGAGTGCTCAGCGCACAGTGCTTAATACACGCCAATTGACCTAGGATCAGATCGCAAATAATTTATCGTCTATTGGTTCTTTCACAGAACATCGCTCTAAATCTCGAAATTGGTATAAACCCTCGCCTCCCATCCCTTCAACGCAGGCGCAATCCCCTTGATAAGCCCGCCTCCCTCTCTCGTGCCAGCCAACAGCTTGACTTCACCAGCGTCACAGCCGAGCATGGCCGCCACATCTCCGGCGGTCTCCTCGTCCTTGGAGAAGTTCATCACTACAAGAGCCCTGCGCTTGACGCCCTCACGGCCCTTCACCGGCGCAGCACTCTCCTTCAGTATGATCCACGTCTTCTCGTTCTCGGGATCCAACAGCTTATGTGATCCGAACACGAAGATATCGCGGTACTGCCTCCTCAACTTGAGAACCTTCTTGTAAAACTCGAGAATGGAATCCGGGTCACCACGCTGCTTTGCGGCATTGATGGCCTTGTAGTCGTCATGCACTCGCATCCACGGCTTGGCGCCCTCTTTCGTGAACCCGGCGTTCGGACTATCGTCCCATTGGAAGGGTATCCGCGCGTGGTCTCTCGCCAAGATGCGCAGCCCGTCCATGGTCTTTGCGATCCGCTCCTGATCGCCCGAGTCCAGGGCCTCAGAGTAAAAATTACCGCTCTCAATGTCCTTGTACTCCTCGATGCCCCAACTGGCCGGCATATTGGTCATGCCAATCTCCTGGCCCTGGTACAGGAACAATGTGCCCGACATGGTAGCCTGCCAGATCGCAATCGTCTTACACGAAGCTTTCCACAGCTCGGGCGTCGAGTCATCGCCAAACCTCGAGACTGCGCGCCCATTGTCGTGGTTCTCGCAGAAGGCGGTAGCCCACGCGTCCGTCCCTTCAATGAACGACTGCCACGTCGCCGTGTAACTCTTCAACGTCGACAGCGGGAACGGCTGGAAGAGGTACTTCCCCCCGAATCCGTTGCCGTTCCCGAGCCGGATGACGGAAAACTCAAACACCATGTCCAGCTCCTGCGCCGCGGCCGAGACGTACGGGATCACCTGCGACGGGTGCGGCGTCAGGGACAGCTCGCCGACCGACACCGCATTATACGGCGCAAGCACCTTGCGGTTCATCTCGTGGATAAACTCGTGGATGCGCGGGCCGTTGCACCACATCTCGGGCGCAGGCTGGTGCGGCGAGGTCGGGTCCGTGACGGGGGCGTCGACGTAGTCGGTGCGCTTGGAGTACTTGTTCGCCGTATCGATACGGAACCCGTCGACGCCGCGCTCGAGCCAGAACCGCATCGTGTCCTCGTATATCGCCTCGCGGCACGCGGCGTTGTCCCAGTTGAGGTCGGGCTGGTCGGGCGCGTACAGGTGCAGGTAGTACTCCTGCGACTGCTCGTCCCAGGTCCACGTCGGGCCGGCGAAGTAGCCGCGCCAGTTGGTCGGCGGGTGTCTGACGCCGTCGGCGTCGTAGCGGGCGGGCTTCCAGATGTACCAGTCGCGCTTGGGATTGGCGCGCGAAGAGCGGCTCTGCTTGAACCACTCGTGCTCGACGGAGGTGTGGTTGACGACGAGGTCGAGGATGACCTTCATGCCGCGGGCGTGGCATTCCCTGAGGAGGGTGTCGACGTCCTCGACGGTGCCGTAGGGGGCGTAGATCTTTTGGTAGTCGGAGACGTCGTAGCCCATGTCTTTCTGGGGGCTCTCGAAGATGGGCGAGACCCAGACGACGTCGACGCCGAGGTCGTGGAGGTAGTCGACCTCGGCGATGAGGCCGGGGAGGTCGCCCCAGCCGTCGCCGTCCGAGTCCTTGAAGCTGGCTGGGTAGACTTGGTAGAAGGTTGCGTCCTTCCACCAGGGCTGCTTGCCCACCCAGCGGTTCTCGTCGTCCCAGACGAGAGATCCCATGGTGCGTGTCTGTTACTCTGTGTTAAGCCACACGACCATAGGGCGGAAAGCAAAGAGGAGAGAGGCGAAGAGAGAATGAGGGGGCAAATGGCGAGAGAACGTGGGAGAGTGACGTGGAGTCAAAGATCAGACGCGGCGGCGGGAGAGAATGGCATTTTGACCAGGCGCGGAAAGACTAGGCGTCGTCGGAAGTGGACGACCGCGATCAGCGGCAGTGGCAGACAAATGGCGTGGCAACATGACGGCCCATGCATCCGAAAGTGGGAAACGAGGAACCAGAAGAGTAAGAAAAGCGTGGGGAGGTTGAAGCGTCTGCGCGCGGGGTCCTGTGGTCAGTAGCTGTGGTGCATGAAGCAGGTTACCCCTCGTGGGAATCACTCCGCAAAAGGGCCGCGAAGGGGAGAGAGAGAGAGACGCGGTGCGGTGCATCGTCGAGTCGGTTGATAAGTTTGATCCAATCTCGGTGGAGATTCCGATCACAACTGGCAGCGGTTTTCCCCGCCCTGCTACCCCATGGACCATGGATTGCCCCCTCTAGACCCTCCCGAGGTGTGGTTGCCGGCGGGCGAGAGGCGCTGTTGAAGAAAGCGGAGGGCAGGAGGGGAGGTTTCAGGCGGGTGTCACACGGCGCGCATGAGCGTGTTTCTTTTCCGAAGCTTTGGATCGCCTCAATTAAACTCCGCCTTCCCGCTGATGACGGGCAGCGGATGATGCTGGAACGCGTGAACGGGTCGCGAAAGCACGTTGAGGAAACGTTTTCCTGAAGAAAAAAGGACGCGGAGACTCCGCCATCCCTGTCGGGGTTGAAAGTGGGAGAATTTGGGGTTCGGAGAACCTCCGCTAGACTCCGCACCGCCCTCCGCGCCTCCTGTTCTGCCGGGAGCCACCCACGTCAGGGCTGCCCGCCAATCAGGTGCTGCGGATCCCTCAGTGGGGCCAGACCGGTGATGGGCGGGTTCGGGGCCGGGTCTGGAGAAAAAAGGTGGATGGTCTGGAAATGGTTTGTGTAACTGACGACCCGAATCTGGGGAAACTTTTGCGAAGA